CACAGGGGTGATTTGGTGATGGGAAACCCGTGGGGATTACAATTGAGATGAAAAAAAAATGTGCAAAATGATGTAAAAATAAATTTAAAAAAATTTTGCATGTAGCTACTAAATAATTTAAAATTGTATTTGTGATCCGCATTATTTTTATTGAGCAGCACTGGTCTAGACCAGGAGTCAGCAGACTCTGGTGCATGGAAATCCATTTTCTTACCTGGTTTAGGATGACCCGAGAGCTAAGAAATGGTTTTGATAGATAAACAATTAATTGCCATTGATTTGAAAAAAAGGAACACTAACTTTTTATCCCAATGAATTTAACAGTTTTCTTGTGCCAAAAGAAATTCATTGATGTCTTTAGAATTTTTATAAGTGTACTCATTTGTATTTTGAATTTGTCAAATATTTTATGGAAAAATTTTTTCTCTATTTACGTAAGTACCTGCATAATACCCCTAATTTTGTCACGGCCTACGAAGCCTAAAATCATTATTTTCTGACCTGTACAGAAAAAAAATTTTGGCCTACAAATAGCCCAGCACTCTAAGCTCCTCAGGGCCCTCTCAACCCTGAGGGGTTGAAAAATACTACCCCACCCACTCTCAGATCTATTCAGTAATCAGAGTCCTGTGGCAGGGGCTCAGTCCAAAGGTAGACCCTGGAAGGCAGAATTCACTTTAAAGAGAAGAGATGAACTTACCTGGTTAGCACTGTAGTTAGTGGCCATGATCCTGCCACTTCCTGCTGTTTATCTCTGTTGCCTGGCAACCACAGTAGGCCTCTCTAGCCCATGCCCTCTCCGCAGGGACTGCCTTTCCTTCCTCTGTTACTCACTTTCTTGGCCGACGCTGCCCCCAAGCTTTCCCCCTGAAACATAGGTTCTTTTTCTTTTAGAGCTGTGACAGAGCAAGTAAACAGGAGAAAATTAGCTGTCTATTTTTGCTAGCATAACTCACTCAAGAACTGCCCGATTGTCTTCACCTGGGGTCTTCAACATCTTGAGCCAACTGTGGAACCCCAAGACTGTGTTCCTTGAGCAGTGTGGTGTGATACAGTGTGGAGTCTAGAGTCAGGCACTGAGATCTGAGTCTTTACATAGGAACTCTATGACATTGAGCATTTGTTTCCCCTTACTAAATTTCTGATGACAAATTTGTGTCATAGAGATATCTGAGCCTACCTTCACAGGGTAAATGAAGTAATGTATCTAGTCCTACCCAAGCACAGTAGGTACTCATCACTGAGAAGATACAGTTTAGAGAGTCCAATAAAGGTTTTTCAGGCAGAATAGCAAAGGAATAATGTTTTCAAAAACAACTGACTCAGATTTTTTCCCAGAAGAAAAAAACCACATTACCCTTCATCCTTTAATGACTCTTGCCTCTTCCATGACTCTAGAATGACAGGGCGTAACGGTACAGAGGACTGGTGTTGAGTGGGGTAAGGCAGAATCAGGAACTGGTGAGGGAGAACGAGCAGGCGCAATGGGAGAAAGCTGTAATGCTAAAGTTCTCCAGGCTTGGAGGATTAAGTGATGATGCCAGATGGAAAATCCAGTATTTGTGGAATTGGGCAACACCTCTGAGACTTTTCATAAGTAGCATTGTTATACTTATTTACTAGACTTAAAATCAGTAAGGAAGTGGAACTGTGTTACATGAATGGTAAAGTCTAATTGACATGTAAGATCTCAAGATGAAAGGAAAATACTAAGAAGTAAGTTATCCAGAGAAATAGTTGACAGCAAGGAGAGCATTGTAAAGCATAATGTCAGTCTCTTCTTCCTTCTTCCAAAGTCCCCATCCCAACAACACACCAAGTGTAAGAATACATCTATACTTCTATAGAGATGTAGGTAAAGGCAGCTCTTGTTTTATAGACTTTGGCAGTTCATAGCTGGATAATATGAGATCTGGGAAAAGGACTTGTGTGCTTAGTCCCTGGGTTTTCAGCGCTTCTAGAGATAACTTGAAGGACCTGGGATGGATTTTGCTCTAGGATATTCATTCTGGTCTTCAAAGCCATAGTGACAGCTAAGCAGAATTTCTTTAGGACCTTCTGTCTTCATCTGATATGCTTTTCTGCTATAGATGGTATGTTATATGGTGAACTATACTCATTTAAAAAAATGAACTGGTTGAATAATGTTCATGGGGGAAAAAAACTTCCATCTTTATAGGTGTTGAATGAAAAACAAATCTCCACCTGACTTCAACTCTCAGTGCTTGCTCCTCAGAGGCAACTACTGTTACTATGACAATAGTAAGTACTGTTATGATTTTCTCTGATTCCTTCCAGAAAAACTCCATGTGTCCACATTTTGGGCATGTGAACACTAATGGGAACAAATTGCCACATTGTTTTGTTTTTTGCTTTTTTGACTACCTTGGGAATTTATTTTTAATGATAACATAGTATTCCACTTTAGGATGCAACAGCATGGATTTAGGAAACCCATAGGAATAACCATTTGGGTCATTTATACTCCTTTACTATTACAGATATTGCTGCAATGGAAATCTGTATCTACAGCTATATACTTATGAGCATTTGTGATGAGTACAACAAATTCCTAACAGTGAATTGCAAGGTTGAGGACTGTGTATGCTTAGAGTGTTAACAGATAATGGCAAATTGCTTTTCAAAGACATCTGTACTGGTTTGTATATCTACTGAGTTATGAGAGTACCTGGTTCTCCCCTCAATATTTTTCCTGTTTTGTCAACCTCATAATAAGAACTAACTTAGTTACCATATGCCAGGCAGAGTTCTAATTGTCTTTTATTATATTTTCTCACATGATTCTCAAGAGGAAGGAGAGCCAGGATTTAATCCCAAATATTCTTACTCTAAAACTTTCCATGTTAAGCATTGCATGCCTCTTCAGCTGTTAGGGAGGCATGGTACATCATTGTTTTAAATTTGTTTTTCTTTAATTATGATGTTTTTTCTGCTATATGTTTATAGGTATTTGAAATTTTCTTTTATAGTTTTCCTGGAAATGGTTTTTCAAGGCTTTTTCTATTTGTCATTGGCTGTTGATTTGATTTTTATTAATCTGTTTAAACTCTTTATAGATAAAGGAAATTTGCCCTTTGTCAAATATGTTGCAAACATTTCCTACCAATTTGTCACTTAACTGTTTTGTTTGTAATTTTTTTCCTTTTTGCCATGGACATGCTTCTAATATTTATGTAGCCAAATCTTATTACTATCTTTCTATGCTTCTGAGTTTTACGCTTTGAATGGTATTTTGTAAATCCCAATATTTAAAACAATTCACCCTTAACTTCAGTTTTTATTTTTGTTTATTTTCTTTTAAGTTTTTTTCTTTGTATCATTATCAGTTTTTATGTTTAATTTTTGTCCACACTGGGATTTATTTAATGACTCAGTTGAACTCAGTACCTGATTAGTGTCTTGGGATCATCCATTGAATGAGCCATCTTTTTCTCACTCACTTGAAATTCCACCATTTTTGTATTTCTGACTATATCTGTGTCTGTTTCTGGATTCTGCAACCCACTATTCTTGAGGGAGAGACACCCATTTTAGATTACTTTTTAAACTACAAGAGACAATTCTGGCTTGGTCCTGTGTAAATGCTTGAGTTAGAATTTCTCAGATGCTAGGAAATTTTAATACAAATATTAGGAGACAATTTCAAGCTTTTAATAAAATTGAATTTTAGCCTGTTTACAGAATGACTGACTTCAAGAACAGCTGCTGGTCTGTTCCCAGGGCCAGACTCAACTCTTTCAAAGTTAGAAGGACTTACAGTGGTTCCATTTATAAAATATTCTTTTTAAAAAAAAAAGATTTTTTTATTTGTGCATACAGAAGTGGGGTACAGGCAGAGGCTCAGGGGCAGTGAGAGGCTTCACCAGAGACAGAGTGGGGAGCAGAACAGGCAGATGGACGAAGTACACTACTGCTGAGGGTAGCAGCGGGCGGGTCAGGAGA